ACTGGGCTGAAGTAACTGGGTCTTATTTGTTTTCTATCCAATGTCTCTATGTAGTAGGGCCTAAGTTAAGTTTGTTAACTTAATGCCTTTCAGATTTCATCAGATGTTACTTAGTTTTTTTATTTAAATATAAAAGTAATTTTGTTACCACTTTGGTTCATCCCATTACTCCTCTCCCTGAAAATTTGCAGAAAGCAATTTACATTCTACCTGTTCAGCATCATAGGCAATTAAGGATTTCAATCTGTTAATGATGGTAAACAAGTGATTTTCACATTGTGTCTTTCTACAAAGCCCCACAAGGTGGTGCCCAAATATCTTTTTTCAAGCAATACTCCCTCAATACCCACTGTCAGTCCTCACTAATTTGTGTTAACTTCTGGCATTTCTGAATTTGGTCAATTAGCATAACAGAAAATATATAGTTAAGTAAATGTTATTTACATTAAACAAAATTATACATGTGTAATTTCAGAATCCATAATTCTGGATATAAATAATGAATAATCATTATAATAGGTACCTTATATTTGTGTAGAGTTTTATATTATTAAAAGTTTTTTTCATATCCCCAAATAGTAGAAATATTAATTCTCCTCAAGTCTTTTTCACTGTAAACTTTGCCCATGAGTAATTTATCCTTAGCACAGAATTTAAAAAGATAGAAGAAACAAACAATCGTGGAGGAGAAACTATATGATTTAGACGTAACTCAAAAAACAGTTGATTTTATTACCTTAATTAGGAACAATGCTGCGTAAACCAGAGTTGTAACTAGTTGACATAATGTAGGACAATAAGTTATTTAATGTTCTTAAAACACTTTTGTTGCAGAAATTTGATAGAGTTGTTTTAAAAAACTTTCTTTGTTAGATATTCTTATTAAATCCCAAATGGACTAGAAAACTCAAATGGGTGTTGGGGTTCTAAAACTTGTTCATTATGATATCTACCTATATTACTGGCTGTGTTTTGATCAGGTACCAATAACATGCACCACGGGCCACTGAAATCAGTATAACAATACCCAGCTACTCAGGCCAATGTTCCCAAACCTGGAGGAGAAAGGTCTTCAACTCAGGGTTCTAGGAAGTGGTGCTTATTGCCTTTGATGGTCCAGTCATTAAGATGCACACAGCGAGATGGGAGACTCACAGGACATGCTGGAATTTGGCCAAAGATAATTTGTCTTGAGTCATTTGCCACTAAAAGTAAAATTTATATTTTTCAAACATAAATTGTTGGCCATAGACTAGCCTCCTTTTTCTCCTTCTCTGATACTAGCCTGGATGATGCAAAGGCTTAGAAACTTCCTCAGATAGTTAGGAATCATGAAAGATGGCCGACTGATGCCCAAAGATCTGAAGTTCATTCCCTCACCGACTCATGGTATGACTTTTGGGTGGGTTACAACATCTGCCCTCTATTTTGTTATCTCTGCAATGGGAGAATCAAATAAAAGTGCTCTCTAAGTTTCCCTCCAGTTCTGTGATCTGATGCTATCATTTGTCCTCAATACAAAAAAAGTTTAAACGCCATCTAGTGGGGAATAAAAGAATTCTCTCAGATATACTACAGCACTTTCTAATACCTGAAAGTGAAATCAACTAAATGAAAATATTTCTCCCATTAAAAGTAGAATTTGTCAAAACTTAAATAGGTCTAATCTTTCTCTTTTGTTAGACTGTACATGAAAAAGTTAAGACTGCGCTATCCACTGACTGAAAAGAATAACTTTAAAAAACTCAAACATTCAAACCTATGATAGGACAAGACCTATCCACCTTCAGATATTTCTTAGAAAGAAAAATTGTAAACTTTTCCAGAGAGTACTTTGTTTTTTGGCATAAAATAATTTGCTCTTAGTAAAGAATAAATAACACAGAAAGAGAAAAATATCAAACTTGAAGAAACATTTTAAAGACGTATTTTAATAGTCCTAAGATTGGTACAGTGGGAATTTTCACTGTCACTGTGATCTAAGGCACTATGTGTTTCATATGTGACACAATTATTCAAGCTGGAGACCAAATGACAAATAATGAAGCAAGGTATACCAAGGAGTAAACAATACAAAAAAACAATTGAAGAGAGGGAATGCAGAAGAGTCAGCTCAATCAGAATTTGGTGAGGGGAGGGACACTAATATCACACTGCTTGGATTCAAGAAATTCCACAGTTGCTACATTTTATTACCAATGATAATTTCCACGTCCTTTTTGTCTTGGAATACTTTTAATCCTTCCCTAAGTTGATAAACAAAACCAATACCATTTTGGTGTGCCTCTAATTTACTGATGAAAAGCATGAGACAATGTCCAAGTCATGAACTCTTGAGGCCAAGCATGATAAAGAGTCCCAGAACCTTCAGAGCTTTAGGGCAAATGATAGAAATCCTACTACACCAAGATTTTATACAAAAAGAAGAAGGAGAAGGAGAAGGAGAAGAAGAGGAAGAAGGGGAATTCTAACAACAAATTTCTCCAAACTGGGTAAGAAGGTCATTGACTTCTCCCTTCTCAGTTGACATTGTTCTTTTCTACTCTGTGGGGGGTGGGCCAAATTGGGAGAAGATTGTGAAACACCTCACTACACCTTGATCTTGGTCCAGATGTATAACTGTGTTACAGGTTTGAGCTGATATGTTACTAGCCTTTTTTGTGCTCCTACAACATGCAGATAAATCCTTCTGATATATATATATGTATATATATATACAAGTCATCCCAGAATTTGATCCCTTTTAAATAATCCTAGGGCCCCAAAATACCATCACTTCTGAGATGGAGAACTTGGCACTGGTACAAAAACAAATAAAGCCAACATAGATTCTAATATGGTAGAGTAATGAAAGTTTTTTTAGAAGTTGAAAAAGATTTGCTGTCTAGCAGTGCTCTGGAGAGCAATCTATTTTTATCATGGTTCTCAAGTGATTGACAAACACTAAAACTCATTCATTCAACAAATCATTCAACAAATATTTTTTGAGTGCTTACTCCAGTCCATCTACAGATGCAATAGTAAAAATAGTATACTACCTTTCTTCTATAAAGCCTTTGCTACAGACCAACTGTCAGAAGAACATGGACTCCAAGTTGCCTTTTTCTAGTCATCATCATCATCCACGCTCTCTTATTTGGTCTTTGCATGCTCAATTGCACACTAATTCGAGATCACCTGTTAAGATTAAGATTGTGGTCTTTAGCCATAGCACATTGTTTCTCTGGGTGTGAAGCTAATTGACTGATATAAATTGACAGAACACAAGATTTTCTTTTGAGACATCTACCCAATGAACTTAGTGCTGATGGCTACACTTGGGACAGAGGTGTGGCAAACCTTTAGGCTATCTTATTTGACTTTGAGGGTTCGAGGAGAAATGATGAGCAGGCAGAACTCCAATCTCCCACCAACTGAACAGTTCAAAAGCAAGAGGGCTGTAATCCATTTCTCACCTCCAGGAGTCACCTGCTTACTTCTTAAGAGGTATTATTATTCTGCAAGTTGTTAATTTACCTCAGGAAAAAGAGAGTTGACTTTCTGAAAAATGCCACTTCCTTATCCCACGATACTCATCTCACAAAAGTGAAAAGTGTGGCTAGCATCCACAGGTTATTTAAAATATACATGTGGTTTCTTCCTGGGAAATTCCATCACTACTTCTCTAATACACCCAGTATTTCTCCTTTCTATTACCAAAGCTCCACAAAACTTCCGTGTTTCCTCAAGAAGTTCTTTGTGGCGAGGAGACAATGAAAACACAGACATGAATGTGGCGACTTAATTTAATGATGTAATAGTTGTTCTAAGTGAGGCTCAGGAGTCAGAAAGACCTGAGTCAAGACCCCATTCTGGCATTTTCTAGCATTAGTATAATAGTGGGCAAGTGATTGGACTCCTCCCTGCCTCCACATCCTCATCTGCAAACCATGAATTCTTACAGTACTTACTGTAGGTAGGTGGTTGTGCTTTTGGAGGGCTAAAGGCCATAATGTTTATGAAGCACTTCGCAGAGGGCCTAGCCTGATAAAGTCTTCATAAAATGGAAACCATTATTGTTATGATAAACAGATGCATCAGTGCTAAAGTCTCCTCCTAAGAAAGCTGATTTTAAAACAATTATAAACACAAATATTTATATTGCTTTCTCTGGTCATCGTGCTATTCTCTATCTCTGAGGCAGTAATAGAGAAGACTCCCTGTTGGTTGTCTAGGGGTCATGTGGCCTGTTGGCATTATGGTTTATACTGATAAACACTGACTTGATATGGGCTGTGACCACAAAATACAAAATAGAAAAGAAGAGAACGGAACCATTTCAGTGACCCTTTCCTGGACAGTGACCTCAGAATACTGACCATTGTAAACCTAACTCCTATGTCACAGTTTAAAAGAATTTTGATAAATAATTAAATCCATTGCCTCATTTCATAAGTGGGAAACTGAGGTCCCCACATTAGGGACACAACCAAGGACTAAATTTAGATCACTCTTTCGCTATTCTGAAGTATTTCAGTATTCTGAAGACCTTTTAGAAAATCACTGAGGTAGAAAGACTAGAGTAATGAGCTTCTAAATGCTCATCATCCTTCTTCGACCCACTGCCTTTCTTGTAAAAACAGTTTTGCATCTGAGTCTGGTGTCACTCACGTACACGCCTTCACAGAGCTGTTTAAAACCAATATCTAACAGAATGCATACTCCAGGCAAAGAAATGTAGTAACAGAAAGAGAAGGACATAGCATGAGAAACAAAGGCAGAATGTCAATAAGTGGCTAAAATGTAGAAAACTTGCTCAAGCTGTTTTTACAACAGTCTGGAAAACACAGATTGCTCCAAAAGGACACTGTTCCTTTAAATTACTTACTCATCCCACCCAGATCTTGCACCCTGGCCAAATGCCTGACCACTCTTGCTTTAACTTAGTCTAATAAACATGAATAAAAGATTGCAAAAGATCCAAAGCAAAGACAATTTTTATTTCACACAGAGCAGAACAATATCAAATGGTCAGCTCCTTCCCAAACAATGGTCCTTGCTGTTGGCATTTCCTTAACCAGCCTTTAATTCCTGTCTGGCAGACTTTATAAGGTAAGACATCACTGCTTTGCTTTAATCACTTAGAATCGAACAGGACCATTGAGGAACTGTGAAAGACTAAATGGTTTAGGTACTTACTATGTGAAGAAAGCTGATCAAATGTTTAATCCTCTGCTATTACTTTAAATCAATTAGAAAAATATGAGTAATTGGTAAACTAAAAATTTTAAATTGATTTTTAAGTTATTTTAAAATTTATTTTTAACTTACAGTCTACTGCATAGCATTCAATGATGTTTATCTCTTTTGGGGCTTTTTTTTAAAATTTAGTACAAGTTTTTATAATTCAGCATTACTTGTAGGATACTTTAAAACTTGGCTAGTTTGGCAATTTGAATAAAGTGTTTATTCATCATTTTATCTTCAGGTAGAAACAAATGAGATGTGCATACTATGAATAAAATTGGTAAACTCTGCTGAAAGATAACTTTATTTATGAGAATGAGAACCCATAATATATAAAGCCTCTTGGCGTTATTGATCCTGATATTTGCCCAAAATAAAATTTAGGCCAAAAAATGGCAAAAATATGGCATTTAATTAAAGATAGTCATTGCTCCTGGATTTATAAAATTTAGCCATAGTAAGCATAGAGATTTATATTTCTTTCGTTTAACTAATGGAATCTTTCCCCTGAAACCTATTTTACTTGTAGGTGATATCCAAATAAGAGAAAAATGGGAATTATTAAAATGGAGGCAAAATAGAACATGACAAAAGTGATTAGAAATGGGTAGGCTCTTCAGATACCAAACTAATAAAGAAGAGATTTCAGAAAGGCAGTAAAACAAAAAAAACTAAAGAAAGAAAAGTAGAAAGGTGTAAGGTTGTCCTCTGATTGATATCAGAAAACAGAAAAGAGTACCAAACTTTGGTTTGGGAGAGCTAGATAAAAAATACCAGAGCAAATAGTAATAAAATATGAGACATTGTGAATAATGCTAACGAATAAGCTATGGTTGTGAACATTGCAGATACAGAGGTTCAGATATAAATTCATGATCATAAGCCAAGAAAACTGTATTGAGCAGGTGCTTAGTTTTGAAAAAAGATAAACCTTCATTTAAAGCAGCATTTCCAAAGACCAAATGAGGTCTACAAATGAGAAGAAAGTGGTTTCCTTCTCGTGATTCTAGTTATCACTGTCTTTAGGTTTTTGAAGAGTCATCTTGATCAGGTACCTTGTAAAATCTCTCTTGTTCTCAATGAAATTAAATTCTCAGTCTCTTATTTACAGAACTTCTAAGAAGTTCCTTCTGGTATAGGCTCAACAATAGAGAAAAGTCACGTGAAATGCCAGGGACATGGTGCTATTCCTCCCTACCCCCCCAAAAAAAATGCAATAGCAGCTGTGTTTTGCTACATAGCTTTATTTTTACATTAATCTTCAGAATTAAACTTGAACATCCTTTTGTATTCATCTCACTGGTTAGCAAGGGGATTACATCCAGAGGAAA